TCAGTGAAACTGAAAGGGAAGCAATCCTTCCCAAGTCATTCCTTTAAGCAAATATTACTCTAGTACCAAAACCTGAAAAAGACCCAACTAAAAAATAGAACTACAGGCCAATCTCCTTAGTGAACACAGAGGCAAAAATCCTCAATAAAATATTGGCAAATAGGATGCAGCAAATCATCAAGAGGATTATACACCATGACCAAGTGGGATTCATCCCAGGCATGCAGGGATGGTTCAACATATATAAATCAATAAATGTAATCCACCACATCAATAAAGCCAAAAGTAAGAATCACATGATCATTTCTGTAGATGCAGAAAAAGCTTTTGATAAGATCCAACATTCATTTTTGATAAGAACTTTACAGAAAATTGGAATAGATGGTCTTTACCTCAATATAATAAAGGGAATCTATGACAAACCAACAGCCAGTATCATACTAAATGGCCAAAAATTAAAAGCCTTTACTTCAAAATCAGGCACAAAAGGTGTCGCTTATCACTGCTCCTATTTAATATAGCACTGGAGATACTAGCCAGAGCAATTAGACAAGAGAGAGGAATAAAAGGCGTAAAGATAGAAAAAGAAGAAATTAAATTATCATTATTTGCAGATGACATGATACTTTACATAGAAGACCCCCAACACTCCATTGAAAGACTTTTAAATATAATAATAAATTCAGCAATGTAGCTGGATACAAAATCAATACTCAAAAAATAGCATTCCTATACATTAACAATAAAAGCACAGAGAAAGAAATAAGAGAAGCCATATCCTTCACACTAGCAACCAAAAAAATGAAATATTTAGGAATTACTCTCACGAAAGAAGTGAAAGACTTATACAGGCAAAATTACAATACACTGAAAAAAGAAATTTAAGATGATCTCAGAAAATGGAAAGACATCCCTTGCCTATGGATAGGAAGAATAAATATTGTGAAAATGGCCATTTTCTCAAAACTGTTATACAGATTCAATGCAATCCCATTAAAAATACCATCAACATACCTCATAGATCTCGAGAAATCACTCCCAAAATTCATCTGGAGTGAGAAGAGACCCAGAATAGCAAAGACAGTTCTAAGCAACCAAGGCCAGGCAGGAGGCATCACAATCCCTGACTTGAAGTTATACTACAAAGCAATTGTAGTAAAATCAACATGGTACTGGAACCAAAACAGAGCCAAAGATCAATGGAATAGATTTGAAGATACAACCACAACTACAAACACACTCAACCACCTTATCTTTGATAAAGGGGCCAAACATGTTCACTTGAAGAATGACAGTCTCTTTAATAAATGGTTTTGGAAAAACTGGCTATCCATATGCTGAAAACTAAAACTAGACCTATATCTATCACCATGTACTAAATTAAAATCTAAATGGATCAAAGATCTGAATATTAAAACAGAAACACTAAATCTATTGGAAGACAAATTGGGTAAAACCTTGAAGACATAGGAGTAGGTAGAGAATTCCTGAACAGGAAACAAACCGCATGGGAACTACTTCCCAGAATCAATAACTGTGATCACATCTTGTTAAAAAAGTTTCTGCACGTCAAAAGAAATCTCCAGCATAGTGAAAAGAAAACCCACAAACTGGGAAAAAATCTTAGTGAACTGTACCTCAGAAAAAAGACTTCTGTCTAAAACATATAAAGAATTAAAAAAATGAGACCCCCAAAATTCAAAGATCGAATCCAAAAATGGGCATCTGAGATGAATACACAATTCTCAGATGAAGAAATACAAATGGCAAATAAATTCATGAAAAATGTTCATCATCATTAGTCATTAGAGAAATGCAAATTAAAACCACACTGAGATTTCATCTCACTCCTGAAAAAATGGCCAGGATCAAGAAAACCACCAACAACAAATGCTGGAGAGGCTGTGGGGAAAAAGGAACTCTCCTGCACTGTTGATTGGAGTGTAGACTGGTACAACCTTTGTGGAGGTCAGTCTGGAGATTTCTCAGAAGGCTGGGAGTGGAAGTCCCATTTATTCCAGCTATTCCACTTCTAGGCATATTACCAGAAGAACTGAAAGCATCATACCACAGTGATACATGTGCACCTATGTTTATAGCAGCACAATTTGTAATAGCCAAATCTTGGAAACAACGTAAGTAAGTGTCAATCAACTGAGGAATGGATAAAAAAGTTGTATTTTTATACAATGGAGTACTACTTAGCTATAAAGAATTATCACATTGGGATATTTATGAATAAATGGGCTCAGCTTGAGACCATACTCAAAGGTGAAATAAATCAAACTCACATGTATACATACCGAATAGTTTCCCTAGTGTAAAAAATGATAAGAATACCTAAAAGTATGTGGTAATCATGATTCCCCATTACATTGCTTTGAAGCCTTATAATGTTTTCACTCAATTGGAATGGTTTTATTCTGGGTTGATTTTATTGTCTGTGATAGTATGAACAGCTATTTTGAAGAAAACGAGACAGCATAATAGCTAGTGCTGATTTAATATCATTTTGTTTTGAAGTCCCATCAAGCTGTCGTTCTTCTGTCTACATTGGTTTTATCATGTTGTATCCTATTGGATTTTATTATTTGTGATAGTATAAACAAAATTTTTTTATAGGCAAAGAAATAATATAGAAACCGTTGTTCGTTTTCTTTTAGCTGGTAATACCCTATAATACTTTCAGTCTCTTGAATGGTTTCACACTGTCTTGATATGTTTGATGCTATTGTATACTAAGTTATACTCAAATATTTCAAGGAAAGAGATACTATGGTAACTACTATTATGTCAGGTTATCTGGTGGTGAAACACTATGTTGCTTAAATTGTTCTGTTCTGACCTGTGTTGTTTTGTTGTTATGTCCTCTTTTATCTCAATTTCCTCTTTTTTTAAAATTATTTTTTCATTATTTTTTTAATTAAGGGAAAAATAAATTTAAAAATAGCAGGATATATTATAGTATATAATATATACTATATATATTTTTGTTTTCCTATTAACCTGATTTGAACCCTGTATTGCTCTCACCATCTTGTATTGACTGATTTTACTCTATTCTATTTTGTTTGATAGTATCAAGTTTGAGGGTATAGGCAACTACTTTGAAGGCAATAAGATTCACTATGATGCCCATTCTGGTTTGACTATTATCTTCTTCTGAAGTCCTGTAAGGTCTCCAATGTTTAGGTTTTATTGGTCTTGTCCTGTACTGTTTTGTTCAGTTTTATTATACCTGATGATATAGGCAACTCTTTTTAAGATAGTAAGAGGCATTATGGTAACCATTGTTGATCACCTGGTATTTTGTTTTCACATCATATACTATGTCCATCCTTTTGTTTTGACTGACTCTTTTGTTTTGTCACATTTGATTTTATTCTCTTCAAAAAAAGTAATAAGAACTGGGGGAGTATTAAAACCCAAAATGTGTAATTGTTATTGTAAAAAAGAGAGGAAAAGAAAGTGCTCTAAAGGATATAACTGCATGTATATTTAAGTGTGTAAGATAGATGACCATATTACTAAGTTTTTGTTGGGTCATTGAACAAAACTGTTTGCAGTCTCACTGTTTGAATGTCCACCTTGTATGCTTTAATTTTGTAACTTGAACAACTATTTCTAAGATGATAATATGTAATCTGTTAACTAGTGATTTCTTTTTATTTTTTTTTGAAATTCTGTATTACTTGTATCCTTTTACTGTTTTGTTTTTTTTTCTCTTTAAATAAAAAAATTTTTTTAAAAAAAGAAGCACAGGGAGATTTAGTAAGCAGAATGCAGACGTGAGACCTCAGGAAGGCGTGTTTACCTGAGCCAGGAGGGAGGGGATCTGTGGAATTTACGAATCTTTTTTACTAGAAGAAAAGCCAGGCCCAGTTTACAGAGGGAGATGGGGCCCCAGTGTGCAGCCTATTTTGTCTTTTAAGACTCTTGGAAATTTGGAGGGAGTTTCCTGGGAGGGGTGGAGAAAGCAGTGTACCTTTGGATAACTTTGTGCCCTTAAACTGTACTTCTCTTAAAAATTTATTTTTAAAATTATGAGTTTCTGCATCTCCTTTCTACTATTTTTATCTCTTCTCTCTGCCTCACTGAGTGTGGCTGTGGTGTTTTTATTTTCCTTTGTGCAGAAGTTCTGAAGGGTACAGACTTAGATATCACTACTTTTGCACTTGTGGATTCAATCTTTCCCTACTTGGGAGCACAAACGGGTCCTTGAGTTTCTTTTCTTTCTTTCACTTTATTTTTGTCTTTTTGAGACAGGGTCTTGCTATGCAGTTCAGGCTGGCCTTGTGTTCACTTTGTAGCTCAGGCTGCTCTCAAACTTGCAATGACCCTCCTGCCTCAGCCTCCCAAGTGCTGGGATTACAGGCATGTGCTACTGCCTGGTTTGTCCTCACATTTTAAAAAAAATTAACGGAAAAAAAGGAAATGAAACTTCACAACAAAGTAAGAGAAGAATAACAGATAGTTAATTCACTGAGTATTCGTTATCTTTAAAGCAGTTACTCGGCGTACAAGGTAGGGGCATAAAAAATTCTCCAAACGATATTGGCACAAACGTTTCTTCAGTTTGAAGGTAACTGGCCTATTAAAGCCCAGTGCTGCTGCTTTCACAGTGTGGCTTGAGACCTGCTTGCTCCAGGGGCTGGTTCTGAGTATGAGGTCCTATACAAAGTGTCCTGTGCAAGCTGTGGTGAGTCCTGGGATGTGGCCTGGCAGTTCCAGGGCAGGCACTCACTCTGCTTGATGTGGCTGCTGAGATTCCTACAGAGACAGCACCTGGGTGAGACTCCCCAAGGTGTGACCTGTTAATTGTAAAATCCCAGGATGCGTGCCCAGAACAGTTCCTAAAGCCCTGCATGTGAACTTCTCACAAGAGCTCAAGCAGGTTTGATCCGGCCTGCAGATCAATCCGTGGGGTGTACCTGGAGGGGGAATGGGGATTAAATAAAGACATAGGGGAGACAAAGAGAGATGGAAGCAAGTCAAGAGAATCTGATCAAGCCCCCGTTTATTCTGGAAGTGATTATATCTTTTATAGGGAAAGGGCGGGCTGGTGGGACAGGAAGAGGCTATGGGGATGACTACAACAGGGTCATCGTCACATCCGGGTATGTGACGTAAGCAGGAGAGGATTGTGGTTAATGTAGGCAAACGCATTATGCCCATAGGAGAGAGAGAGGCAGGGAGGCAGCAATGGGGCTGTCGCGCGGCTCCCTACATCTCCTCCCTTTCTATTTTATTTAATCAGGAGTATGGCAGGCCCTGTGAGGACAGCGTCTGTCTTAGGTCAAGGACCTCATTACATGAACCCAACCAGGCCTTACCCGTCATGGGCTTGTGGGACAGCAGTTGGTCCTGTGCCTGTCTTAGGTGGCTGATGGAGTTAACATGCATGTCCTAGTTGCCCGTCTCTGACTGCCTGTCCATTGCCCCAGGACAGTTAGGCCACATCATCATATGGGCCATTTATGGGAATTCCTTCCCAGTAGGTTTGTTGATCTGCCATCTCCAACTGATGATAGTGAACCTGAATGCGTTTTGCCATAAACGCATCTATCTGGTTATTAATGAGCATCATAATCCTCTGAAAAATACAAGGACTCACAGAAAGGAGAAGCAACAGGGCAGCTAGGGGATCCAAAAGGGGCGCTAGGTAAGGGAAAACCTCCCCCCACCCCGCCACACACATCGAGGAAAAGGGGTTGGCAGCTGTTTGTTGTTGTCGATGTTGAAGTCATTCTTTTATTTCTTGGAGCTTGCCTCGCATAACACCGGACGCAATCTATTTGGCTGGTTTATGTTCCTCCAGACCAAGAAAAGCCTCCTCCGCAGTCACAGGGGGTTGTGTGCATGGCTGTCAGCAGTTGTAGTCTGTTTGGCGGGGGTCTAAATCCACCATGGGTGTGGTACAGCTCAAGGAGAAGGCTGAGTAGGCAGCCTAGGGCTCTGGGGAGTTGTGTCACCTGTAAGAGAACACAGGGGATTGTGCCTCAGGAAATGACATTATTCCTGGGCGTTGCATGGGCTCTTTGAAGAACTGTCTACTTGTTTTACAAGGTGTTCAGGTAGGCTCTCTGTCTTGTTGAGAGTAAACACATACTGAACCTCATCCCCATATGAGAATGGGATCAGGGCCATGCTATGAATTAGTCAGGGAGTCTCTCCATAGTGCAGAAGCAAATTGCTTTTGTGTTTCAGTATGCCAAAAACGCATGGCTGCTGACTGTCCAGAAGCATCCAAATTTAAAAAATTAAGGACGAATAAGGCATGAGATAGAATATTTTTAGGTGTCCCCTTGTGGGGTACCATTCCCCCTTTTTTATTTTATTAACAGTGAGTTTTAGGGAGAGATGCGCCCTTTTAACTATGCCTAGACCTTGAAGGTTATAAGCTATACCTTTTATATGATCAATATTAAGATGTTGACAGAAACGAGCAAAGGCAGAACTAGCATAGCCTGGACCATTATCAGTCTTTAATTGTTGTGGGCATCTCAGAACTGATAAGGTAGTTAACATATGGCTAATAACATGCTTGGTAGCTTTGCCAGTCTGGGGAGAGGCACAAACGAAACCACCAAAGGCATTCATAGTTACCTGAACATATTTAAGATTGCCAAACTCAGGAATGTGGGTGACATCCATTTGCCATAATGCATTGAGCTAAGTCCTCTAGGATTAACCCCAATGTGTGGAACTAGGAGGTGCACTGTACAAGAAAGGCAATTTTTTACTATCTGTCTGGCTTGTTTTCTAGTGATCTTAATACAGAATTACAGAAAAATAAATGGAAAGAAATCACTAGTTAACAAGTTACATACTGTCATCTCAGAAATAGTCACCCAGGTCACAAAACTAAATCATGTAAAGTGACATTCAAATAGTGACACTGCCAACAGTTCTGTTCAATGATCCAACAAAAATTTAGTAATATGGTTATCAGTCCTACACATTTGTTTTTTATCTCAAAGAGGGCAAGACCAAACGTATCAAAACAGAACAAAACAGTTTAAAAAAAGATTTAAAGAAATACAGATTTTAAAGCAAGTCCACTGGAGATCTTCATTGTTTATCTAATTGTCTCTAGTTTCCTCCAAACAGTTGTCCCCATCTTTATGCACATTAAATACACACTGCATATTATAGAACTAATCAAATCATTACAGGATGATGAAAGCTCCTCAGGTCTTTAAGATCTGACTTTGGGGAAGACAATAATAACTACCATAGTGTCTCTCATTTTTTCTCAGCAGCTGTCCCCATCCTTACATATGCTGAAATTAAACTTAAGAGACTAGACCAATATCACTCCGATCAGTTAAATGAGTCAAAGTAATTGACATTGGAATCTCCACCTCTGGAGTCTTTTTTGTAAAATGACTACTCTCTCCACAGGCAAAATAGTCCTGTTCATGCTTTTGAGATAAGAACTGTCCAACTGCAAACCCCTGCAAGGCAGCAGTCACAGCAAAGGTGTATATATCCTGTTAGGCCTGTTCTGTTTTTACGAGGTCTGATAGTGGCCGGCAGACGGTGCCAGCGCCTTTAAAAGCCAGCTGTTCAACAAAATCAGTGCCTGTATCAGCACGGCTAAAGACTCCGCTAGCAGCAGCAATCAAACAATCAACAAACTCTGAAAAGGGTTTATTTGGGCCTTGCTTAATGCTAGTGAGAGAGGAGCTCATATTATCTTTTGCAGGCAGCTTTCTCCATGCTTGAGTAGCTGCTGTTTGAATTTGAGCGAAAAGTGTTGGATTAAACTCTTTTTGAGCCTTTCTGCATGCATAGGCATCTTCCACTATTAACATATTAAGGTCCCACCTATTGCCAGCCTATGTATTGTGCCTGGTGGTCTCTTTGCAATTTTTGTATATTCCAATTTTTACAAAAGATTATCCCCACCCGATAAAGTCACTCGGGCCAATCTTTGCCAATCTGTAAGTGTGAGCCAGCCATCAACCAGAGAATTTAAAACAGCAAGAGTGAAAGCAGTTGTAAGGCCATATTGGGCAATCGCTATCTTTAATTCTTTTAAAGCTGCCACTGTGAATGGCATATGGGTCCTAATGACCTGTGGAGCTAGTGGCACAGCGCCCGTGCCGTCTTGCGGCTGTGCAGCGCCATCTTGGGGAGGTACGTTTGTTTCTGTCACTGGAAACGCCATTTCGGGGAGGGACCCACACTGATGTGACGGAAGTGAGGCAAGCGCCATTTTAAGAGTGCCACAAGGCTTGCCGGAGGCAGGCGCCGTCTTAGGAGCACTTTAAGGCTGTGCAGCTCAGAGGGCCTTGTGCGACCGTCTCCTCAATCTGAGGATCTGCATGCCGCTGGGCAAGCAGTTCAGAGATTAAATTCCAATATGTAAAGGTGGTCACTGAAACCCTTTCCGGACCAAACACCCTATAATAATCTTTTAAAGCATCTCTTACTCTATTCCACCTCTTGGTATCTATAGAACTCTCTAGGGCAAACCTTATGGATAAATTGAAAATACTGCAATAATTCTTTTGTTCTAACCCTTACCCCTCTTGTCTTTCACGCCTTATAAGGCCTCCTATGAACACTTCGTGTTCACTCAATGCTTGACCCATGTGCGGGAAAGGGAATGGGGTCGCTGTTCACTCACTGTGACTCGGGCGAGCACGTCGGGTAGTCATCTGCACAGGCCTCGGTACTTGATTTAATGTCCTTTTGCTTTTAGCTTTAGTCTTCGATTTAGTTTGCTCAGTTCTTGCCGCGGTCTCTGGTTCAATTCGCTTTTACTTTAAGCCGGCTTTCTCAAACAGCTCCCTCGTTGACTCCCCCGTGCCAGGAGCCCACACGCTGGGCGCCACTTGATCTGGCCCATGAATCAATCCGTGGGGTGTACCTGGAGGGGGAACGGGGATTAAAGACATAGCGCAGACAAAGAGAGATGGAAGCAAGTTGAGAGAGAATCCGATCAAGCCCCCGTTTATTCCGGAAGTGATCACATCTTTTATAGGGAAAGGGTGGGCTGGTGGGACAGGAAGAGGCTGTGGGGATGAATACAACAGGGTCATCGTCACATCCGGGTATGTGACATAAGCAGGAGAGAATTATGGTTAATGTAGGCAGATGCATTGTGCCCATAGGAGAGAGGGAGGCAGGGAGGCAGCAATGGGGCTGTCACACGGCTACCTACACAGGTTCTCATAGTAATGGCTTGGACCTGACCTAGCCTGAGGAGCGGGTGACACAAAAAGGATGTTCCCACTGCATTTTAGCCATTCTGTTCTCTTGCATGGTGGCTGCCCTCATATGTGCTTCTTTTCTTATGTTTACCCGGGCCAAACTCACTCTGCAGAGCCTGTTTCTTCACTTACCTTAAATAAAACTTTGCTGCTGCTTGTGCTGATCTTGACCCATTCTTTACTCAAGATAGAAAGTGTTGTACTCTAAGAAAGTAGCTTCATCATTTTGTGTATTATAGCAAACCTGTACCGCGGCTTACTAAATGTTTTCTTTTCTTAACTGATATGTTAAGTGACCCAATTGATATGTTGAGCAATACTCTCCCCTGTAAAGAATTGCAAGAATTTCACTTAATTGAAATGTTAATCACGGAGCGGCCCTCTACAAACAAGAAGAGTGGTGCTAAAACAAGCTAACAAGGGCTGTTAATCACGGGTAGGCGCCTCTAGTCTTCGCTAAAGAACTAAAGAAGACAAGAAGGCCCACTAATTTACACATTGTTTGAAGTAGTGTGTTTATATGCAGGGAGATTTGCCCATGAGTTTAACCTTTTTACCTAACCTTAGTTACTCTTCCCACAAGATAGATACTCGCCGTTTTCCTGTTCTGTAGCGCGCCTTATTGCCTCCCCCCACCCACCTATCTGGGCCATAAAGAATTTGGGTTTCTGGTGACCTCTCCCCGACCTGGTGATGATCTGTCATAAAATGAGCCTGCCCCAATTTTAAGAACTGTTTAGCTTCAAAGAAATTACCGGGAAATACTGTGGCCCAAACCCCGATCGGTGCTTTCCTTTTGTTCTGTATGTACCAATGGGTTAGATATCAGATCTTTGTAAAACTTAAGTTCCAGCATCTCATAACTCGTGACCCCTTCGCACTCACTGGCGAAGACAAGCTGTCCTAGGATAATTAACTCTCCACTTTCTTCCCCAAATATTGCTGCAGATGTGCCACTCTGAGATAATGTCAGTCTGCAGGATGGGAGTAATTTGAGCAACACCAGGAACTCCCGGGACTGTCAGAGCTAAGTGGACAGCAATACAGTTTCCAGATGCGGGTCAACAGGTTTAATGGCCTTACAGGTTTCCTCCCCACTTTCCCTTACTTTTAAAAACCCCTTTCCCCAGTCTTGGGCGCGCAGTCTTTGGTTTGATCTAGGAGAGACTGTGCCGCCAGGACTGGCTCAATAAAGCCTTTGCCACTTAAGTTTTGGACTCTTGTTTCCGTGGACTTTATACCGGGGCCCACGTTATAACAGAAAGAACCTAGAAACCACCTCCAAAAGGAGACTCTAGCATCCCCAAATCTGGGAACAGACCCATTCTACCAACTGAGACAAATGATCTCAAAACTTCAGGCTAATGTAATTTTTTTATTTTAAAGAGAATAAGACTAAACAAAATAAAACAGAACAAAGCCAATCAAAACAAAACAATGAAAGCAATACAGGGTTTCAAAACAAGGTAACAGGAAATCAGCAATGGCTACCATAGTGCCTCTTGCTGTCTTCAAAATAGCTGCCCATACCATCGGACATAATAAAATCAAGCAAAATAAAACAGAATAAAATTGAACAAAACAAAACAGACTTCAAAACAAGATAAAAGGAAATTAATAATGGCTACCATCTTCCTTTTTTAGATGTTTCCTCCCCTTTCACTTTCACAATATCTGTTGTACATTTTGGACCCCACTAACTCCTTCAGTTTTTTACACACCCATGTGAGTCTAAACCACTTCACTCATGAGCGTGATCTCTAGCTGCATCCATTTACCTATAAGAGTCTTGAGATTCTCCTTCTTTATAGCTGAGTGGCTTTCCACAGCATAAAAATGCCGTATCTTTCTTCTCCATGCTGTGGTTGATGGGCAAGGTACCCATGCTTTTTTCTGGTTCTCTGTCACATGGAGCATTGTTTTCTCTCTTTTGATTTCCAGTCTATAAATTTCCCTTAAAGTTAAATGTGTTTCTTGTGTACAGCATATTGATGGACCCTTTCTCCTGATCCATGTTGCCTACATTTCTTTTTTATTGGTGAACTGAGGCCATCCACATTCACAGTTCTGGCTGACATGCACTGGCTCTACTCTGCCATGCTATTTTTCCTGCTCTTGGCTCCCTACATCCCCCTTCCTTCAGTTCCCTGTCCTACTTGGTGATTTCCCCCCTGCTGCTGCTGTTCTTGGAATTGTGGTCATCTTCATCTCTCTTTGGAATATCCTGCCATACTCTTTGTGTAGGGTTGGTTTAGTGGTCATGAATTTCTTCAGTTGTTCTTTGCCATTCAAGTATCTTTCTGCTCCATCAATTTTGAAAGATAGTTTTGCAGAGTACATCAATCTGGGTTGGAAGTTGTTTTCTTTTAGGATTTGAAATTCTTTGCTCCAAACTCTTCTTAACATGATGGTTTGTGTTGAGAAGTCTGTCATGTTTCTGATGGGTTTTCCTTTAGAGGTGATCTGTTTCTTTTCCCTAACAGCTTTTATTGTTCATTCTTATGCTGACTTTCTGGGATCTTGATTATTATATGTCTGTGTGTAGATTTATTTTGATTATGGCTAGTTGGAGTTCTATCTGCCTCACTTATCTGCATGTCAGGTCCTTTTCCCATGCTTGGAAAGTTTTCTGTTATTACTTCTGTAGTCTTTTTATGCCATTTGTGTTGACTCCTGCTTTTATGTTGATACCAATCACTCTTAAATTATTTTTCTTTGTGTCATCTTGCAGTTGTTGAATTGTTACTTCCTGGTTCCTTGTTATTTTTAAGAGACCTTTCTTTTTGTGTTCCCTAGATGCAATCCCGTCTTCAAGGTCTGAAAAATCTACCTTCAGTTTCATTCAAGTGGTTTTGCGACTTTTCCATGGAATTTTCAATTTCCTGGCTATATCTGCATCCATTTCATGTAATCTGATTCTTTCCTATATTGTTCATTCAAGGTGTCCATCATTTCCTATGCTATATTTTAAAAACAAATCTATGTCCTATTTAGATGTATTCAGCAGTTCTTTCATTTGCTTGTCATTTCTTCTTTTACCTAAGATATTATTGCTGATCTGATGTCTTTTATAACCTTATGAAGTTGTATCATTTCAGAAATTTCAAGTGTGTAATTTCTAATTTCTTCTATGTTTATGCTTCCTGGACTTGTTCTGTGTGGTTTGGAAGTCTGAGATTGCATTTTGCTCCTTCATCTTAACAGATTCCTGGCTTTCTCTGCACAAGCCAGTTGTGGGGCCCCAGGTGCTTAACATGTTGGTTGTCCCTCTTGGTGTAGGGGAATGGACCAGGTACCTGGAATTCTCTGAACCTGGTTCCCAGGGAGGTGTTGGAGCATGGGGCTGGCTTCTCCAGATCCACCAAGGTTCCCTGATGGCAGCATGTGTGCTGGGGCGTGGCTGGCTGCTTCTCCCAGCCCATGCTGGCTGCCAGTGGGAAGTAGGCATCCCTGATGGTGGTCAGCAGGTGTAGACTAATTTTTCAATGCTCAGGCAATCTGGGAGCTCCTTGAGCTATTTTGAGAAGAAATTTATAACTAACAAAATTTTCTTCAAAATAATGCAAAATTGGTAAAGATTTCGATCAAAGATACTTGGTAACATCCCATCGATAAGCAGAACCCACATTGCCTATTAACATACAGAGTGGTAGAGGGAGACCAGCTGAGATCACCAACATGGTGTGGAATTTATTGTGCCGGTGTGCAGGGCAGGCAGAGAGCAAAAGGGCTGTCTGCAGGGAACAAAGAGAAGTGCATCCCTTTTATAGGGGTGGAAAGAAGACAGGGGACATTAGGTGGGAAGATTTTAGTAAACGTCTATGGTCTAAGTTCTGTGGCAATCTTGCACCTAAGTGGGCAAAATCCTCGAAGTATCCGATGTAAATTTCTGGGTGTCTCCAGATGTTTCCAGATGTTTCCAGATGTCCCAGGACCTGAAAACTTTGGTCTTATCTTCTTTACCATGCCTGCCCAAGACAGCTTTGGTGTTTTCCTGAGCAGGATGGGCCTGAGGGAGGCAGATCTGATTTGAAACTTACAACTACAACCTTGGTCATGAGCAGCACAAGCCTCATCTATGAGGTTAGAAGTGGGATCTGCCTATTGAGGTTGCGCAAATTAAATATAAAATGCATCTAGATTGTTGGGTGCAGTACTTGGAACACAGTAAATGTTCAATAAAGCTCAGCTTCAAAAATCTTATGAGGTAAGAAAAAGGCATCAGCTTAGCACATAAAATGGTTGGGGAAATAAGTGTTTCTTGAAAGAGAAGTCATAAAATGTGACTGTACAAAAGCCTAAGTAGAGATGGTTAGGTCTTATTACAGTGTTAGGGTACCAGGATCAGTGTCCCAACAGAAATTGAATACCACACATAAATTAGGGAGATCCAAGAAAGGCAAATAAATGCACTGGATACAAATTTTAGGAAAGTAGAGAGAAGCTGCTGATATCACTGCAGAAAGAGAGAAGGAAAGGTGACAGTCATTAGCAGTTCTGAGACAAAGGGATGGGAGGAAGGAAGAGGTGAAAGAGGCCGGAGGGAGAGGGTCACATGGAAAAGCCTGGCTGGAGAGTGGCCAAAGCTACCATGCAGGACAGGTCAGAGAAAGAGTGTCAGTGTCACTGCACAGGGAAGGCTCCAAGGAAGTCTCTCTAAAGAGGAAATGGAATCACAACTCTGCCAGGGCAGGCCTTTGAAGTCTCACTGCAGAAAAACATTTCAAGACCTGCCAGTGAGAGGTATAGGTGGCCTTATGGAACAGAATTAGGAAG